AACAAGGGAAACACTTTAGGATGAGGCAGCAAGCAACAGCAGTATCCGCCCCCTGTCTGCTCCCATGCTGGAACAAAAAGCCTCAAAGAAGCTCCTTTTAGATATCCTAGTTCTGAAGCATTTGTTCCTGCTACGTACGTGAGGCCCTTGCTTCACTCGGAGGCTTTCCTTCATTAATCTACCTTCATGCTACATCAGAAATAACAGGCAACAAAAACTGCACAAGGGAAAGGTCTCTGCTATGGGACACAGAATGAAGCTCAGAAAGCAAGTGAAATGGCACATGGCTGGCTCAATGTTGCCCGGGGCAATAATTTTTCTCTCAGCACTCATTCTTAAGCGCACCACCTCAAGGGAACCCATTACCAATGGAGGAGTTGTGGGCTGTAATAAGATATCAAGCTCTCTGACCATTTGGTAATGCTATGGGTTCGGCAGCTTGCCCCTATCTAGTGGGCTCCCAAGAGCTTCGATAATATGAGAGGACTTCTAAAATCTGCTTTTCTTCCACTCCTAGCATCTGCTTTCTACAGATTTTCTGAGGCCTGAACGTAGGGTTGTAGCCAATTATGCATTTTAAAAAAATTAAAAATAAACGTTTTTCCTTTTGTGTATATATTCATATTTATGCATCATCCTACCAGGCATGAGGTTTGTTTTTTTAAAAAAAAATAAAACGCACACCCTCCTTTTCCTCTTTCCCTTTCTCAGTTGTAGTCCACATAAGTGAAGGTACTCCCTCCACATAATATCCCATCAATCTGCACAACCTTTCACACCTGCCTCTATGAAACAAACCCAAGGCAACTCATACCTAGCTAATGAAACCAGTGGAACAAACCTCACCAACCCCTATTGAATAAGAGAAGAAAGCTGCCATTCCTCAGCAACCACAAAGCATGCAGGGTCATTTGATTCCAAGTGGAGAACAGCTACTAGAGATCCCAAGAAAGGTAGGTGAAACAAGCACTCTTATCACAGTATGAGGAACAAAGGTTTTGCAGTTTCTATTTGACAATTGCTAGTTCTATCCATACGCTAGCAGCTTTCTAACAGTGAGCATGTACAAATCCATAGTGCCTTTTTTTGGTCATTCTTTACCAATGCCATCAGTTATATGCTATTGTTGTTTAGGCTCCCTCAATATTCTGCAAGCAACTTCCTGCTGCGCTGCTGTTATTTTTGCCCCAGGATCTTGTCTAGTTTCTTCCTCTGAGCCCTATCCTAAACACAATTATGTCAGGACTCATTCCTGCAGTGCTGCTCACAGTGGTCATATGTCTTATTTGAGAGAGGACAGAACACTATTTAAAGATGCCCTGTATTTTAGAGGTGTGGAACCCATGGCCCTCGTTGAACTCCAGCTTCCTTCAGCCACAGTCAGCATTGCCCGTGGTCAGGGAGGATAGAAGTTGTAACCACAGGGTCTCCACCCCTGCTCTACTTGAAGGGCTGTCCAGTCCAAGTCAGTTTTAAAGAGAAGAAGGTCCTTAAAGTTCCCATCAACAGTGAACACATAAACAGCAGAGCAGAACGACCAGGCACTCAAATCAATTGGTCAGATTTCCCCCCCTACACTGGTTTCTATTTAAATCATTTCTGAATTTGCATCTATGTATATTAAATGAGCACATGCAAAGTTTATGCAGATTTGCTCTCTCTTCTTTGGTGATGCATAAATGGGCACCCTAACTTACATCCACTTCACTTACCTCCACCAGCTAAGCAGATTTAGCTAAAGAGAGCAAAGACACAGGAAGTCACAGGTTGCTTCTCACTTACTTTTTGTTTAACTTTCACCTCCTCTTGTTTAGACTCCTAATAATGCTCCCAAGAGGCAAAAGAGAAGTTCAAGCAATAATTTGCCACTCTACTCAATCTCTGATGTAAAAACTAGATGAGAAGGGGAATTATTTCCTTTTTAAAAAAAAAATCAAGGAAGCATACCATGACAATATTTATGGGTTGCATATTTCAGGATTTCTTCTGAAGAATAAATAACACTTGGGAAGTGGGTTGGAGTCGGGGTAATAAATATGTAAATACCTGCCTCTCAACCCCAATCATTTACAACAGATGACCCACAATCAAAAACTCATGGGGAAAACCTGCTTCTGATCCTGCAGATGGGAGAAGAAGCTTAGCATTGCCAGTGCTTATTTTGGGACATGGCTCCTGTGCTTTTAACAGCTGTGTGACAGAATGACAACCAGCAGGCGATGCTTCTCCTGCCTGACACTGTATCACCACACTAGGAAAACATCCACTTCCTGAACTGCCTCTTATCTGCCTGCTAAACATACAGGAGTAAGTTGGCAGTTCTAAATAGACCATGTGCCACTTGCGTGCCTGTCGCTAGATCAGAAAGAGACAAGATGGAATGAACAAAAGGATGCTGGACTTTCTAGATTCAGACATCCAGTCTGTCACCTTCCTTTACACTTTGGATTGCTTGCAAATCCACTGAACTATCACTGGCCAAATCAATCACAGCAATAGGAGTTATCTGTTCAGGGCTCCCATACGATCAGTGCCGCCTTCACAGTCAGCCATGCAATGTATTTTCACAAGCATCTGTGTTGTTTTCAAGTTAATTCATACTTCAGGCTGGTCTCAGCATGCTTTCTCATCCTCTGCCCCCTTCCCCACTTATTCAGAGCAGCCTTCTTAACAGCTGTGTGTGTATAAGTAAAGAGAAATGGACCAGGTGGCTTTGCTTGTAGCCAGATGGGCCAGTGACTGCATGGGGAGCAGAAATATGTTCAGTTTAAATCCACAAGGGTTTATGTGAAATGTGGTCTGGGTAAAGGACAGTGATCCAACTGCTGGCAGCTAAGCAGGCAGGACCTGGCTTGGAAAGAAGAAGGAGGCTGGTGTTATAAAGCCCCGACCCTTTGCAAAGTCTTGTGGACTGTGTAAGTCAGACCACGTTCTACTGGACTAGAGGGTTTAGGGATCTGTTGCTGCCTTCATGGTGCCACAGGTTCTGGGATCAAAGCCTCAGCCCTACCAGGAGGAATTAGACAAATAAATGGCCCCCTTGGCAATGATATGTTTACTGATTATTATTGAATTGAAAAGCATAAACCAAATGCTGACCTTACAAGTTTTTATTTAAATTGTGCATCACAAACAAATGCCTGATCATAGAGCTCTGGAGTGTGTGGTCTATGATAGAATATGCAAGCACTTCAGTTATTTGATCCAGAAAGCGATGGCTGAAGCTGCAAGCCTCCAAGCTGCCTCTCGCCCACTCAGCTGCAAAAAACAACAACCCAGTGGCACCTACTGAAGATGAAGGCTTTTCAGAAAACAGCAGCAGAGCCCACTTTCTCAAAAGCATGTTGCACTAGCCTCAGTTGGCAGGCTGTCAATGCACAGCACACACAAACAGGTGTAGAGAAGAGGCGTTTGGCCCCAACCCCACTCTTTACAGACAAGCTGTGAAATGCAAAGGCTAGAATGGCATCTTATTGCCTGGGTCGGAGCATTAGCAGATGGTTGGACATGATGCCTGATGGATCTGGTGCAATCACAAGCAGAGATGCTCTGGATAGAAAGGGCAAACAGCTCTCATATTTAAAAGTGTCGTTTTAGCAACTCATTCATTCAGCCTTGACGCCGAAGAAGTTGAAACTTGCATAGGTCAGGCCTGCACAATTTGTCACCCATCTTGTCAAATGAAGACAAGTAGTGCAGCCTCCCAGGTTCCTGACAACTTTCCTCCCCCCCCCTTTACAAGGCTCTTAGTAAACTTCCAGGCAGGAAGAAAATCTAGTGCTTGATGGGCTACCTTACAAAACTAAGGAGCTCCATTCAGCTTGGTGGGTCACAAAAGTTGACTGGGTTTGCTCCAGATCCGAATGAAATACAAAATCAGTAAAGATTGGGACTGTCTGGGCACTTATCCCTTCTGTTACCTGAAGGCCATCCCATCAAGTAGCCCCACCCCCACCCCAACAGCCTCTTCTACAGTTACTGTACATACTGCTCTGCGAAGGGGGTGTCCAAAGTGGCTTAATAGGCTTGGAGAGAGAAAAATACAACACCCACACAGAGCAGAAGCCAGCGCTCTCTTCTCCTTGGAGCCCTAATGAGGAGACAGACTCTGCTTGCAGTAGGAAAACTCAAACTGATCCCATCCTATTGCTTCGCTCCCTCCCCCTGATCTCTTCCAGTTCAGGTGTGGGTGGTCGTTTCGACACCGCTTTCTTTGGTCACACCTACGTGGCACCGGTTCAGAAAAGCAAGTCGAAAAACCTGGGCCCTCCTGCCACCCCTTCTTCCGACACCCCTCGCAAAGCATCGCAGATAAACACGTTTTCAACAGGGACCGCAACCCATCCCGCCGCCAACCCTTCCCTTGTCACTGATTGGCGACGCTCTTGGGCACCTCTCCCTTGGCACCGGCAGCCCCTTCCCTGGCATCCGTGCCATGCCCGTGCCATGCGCCCACGCCAAACCCGTTGCCATCACTAGACAGCCCTGCTTGGGTGCGGCGGCGTGGCTGAACGACTGATGTCATGATCTCCATCTCTCTCTCTCGCTCCCCTCCCCCTAGACTGAAAGTTAGCTTGCACCTTCCGGAGCAGCCCAAATCTTGGGAACAGAGTCAGGGGAGCCTAAAAGGACACCCCGCGCCCTCTCCTCCTACCTTGGGCAGAGAGAGTGACTGGATCGGCACGTGTATGCGCGTGTGGCGTGCCTGGGCGAGGAGAGCCCGGGAGCTCTCGATGTAGCAGCAGCAGAAGCAGCAACCTTCCTCTCTGCCGCCTGCCCTCCTTCTGCAGGTGAGCCTTCGCCTTGTGCTGCTGCCTGCCTGCCTGCCTGTGTTATGTGTGCGCGCCCTGAGCCACTGCAGCATCTCTGCATTAGGATGTGCTCCTCCCTTCCCCTCCCTTTCCCTGCGCGCTCCCTCTCCGCCCCCCCCCCCGCAACGTTCCAGGGACCTAGAGAGAGAGAGATGGGGGCACCCCCTCCCTCCCCCTCTCCGCCGTTACCTCATTTGCCAGGACCAGTCAGCGCCTGCGAGAGTGACTTGCAAGCAGCATCCATAATGCGTGGTCTTCCTCAGCTGGCGCGGCTGCTCCCAGCTCAGACGGTCCCTTGCAACACTTGGGTGGGCGGGAGGTCGGCTTGCCCTGGGCGCACCCCGTGGTTAGGGCTGCGGGGGGCGGGGGACGGGGACATATGGTCGCGCGGGGCACGAGAGGAGGGGAATCTCCGGCTCGGCCCCTCCCCTGCCCGTTTACATTCTTAGGCAATTCGAGATGGCGAAAGAAACCCAGACTTCCAACCCCGCCCACCTCCGGCAAATATTTAATTCCATAATTGCGTGTGTGGCACAGGATATAACTTGCGGCGTGGAAGGGCCAGCCTCGGAGGCGCACATCATGCTGAAAGGCGATTTCCCATCTCTGGCTAGCATTCTGCAAGTGCTGCTGCTGGGCCTGTTTACAAGGATACCTGTATCATAGGAGCCAACTATTAGGGGCCAAGAGGTATTTGCTCCCCCTAAAATATTTGAGGGAGCCACCCCTCCCCCAAAGTTGATGGGCATTGTCATTCAAATGGTGTGCATGCACCACGTTATGTGGGACAGGGCTTACCTGGCCTTCCCAATATTTTATTCTAGTTGGCACCCTTGACCTAAATCATCTATTATCTATTTCTATCTCTATAGCTATCTATCTCAAGGTGGGCAATCCCACTGGGGATTGTCCCCCTGCTAACTTTATTGAGGGTCCTGTTAACATGGACCGGATAACCACATTCAGTGCTTAATGTGGAACCCAGAATTCATGCCCAGAAGTCTGTGCTTCCCAAAATAACAGGCTAGTGTTTTATTTCTTTCTGAGATTGGAAAGTGTGTTGGAGCATGTGCAGAGAGCAGCATTTCCTCACTGCTGCTGAGTCAGTTTGCTCAGCCCAGTCTGCTGCCATGCAGCTGCAGAGAAGAGAGCTCTTTCTAATAGGCAGCCAGATGTGCAAATGTGATTTGCCATGGCATGTAGTGAGCCTTGTGTATGGAATATGTCCTATATGAACACTAAAACATTAGTTCTCAAACTACGTAGTGAGGTAAAAAGAGCCTGGTCCTTTAATGGCAGCCCTTTGGCTGATGCTTTTCAAAAGTTAGGGGTGCAGGATGATTCGGCTGAAATCTGAGGGGAGGACAATGCAAAATAGGCTTCAAATATAGAAATGGCATGGAAGAGGAGAAATATGTTTTTTGAACCCCAAAAGTTTCAAATATCTTCTTTAGAGGCACTTTTTGGTGCAACCAACTTGATGCTTTAGGCCCCAGCTTTGTTAAAAAAGGTTATTGAGACCCAAGAGACAAACTGGTTGCACCTATAGTGTCCCTAAATAAGATATTTAATAAACATTAAATATGTTTAATAAAGTTTAATAAATGGGGTTTTCTGTGCATCTGGAGGCTCCCCCCCACTCTCAACCCCCCCCCCCAAACATTTGGAGAAGTCAGAGATAAGGTTGCATAAATGCACTGTCTGGTAAACCAATGTATTTTGAAGTCTACAGTAGTGAGGTATCAGGCAATGCAACAGATTAAATTCTTGATTTGCATTGCTTTGTGAGGCACAAACTGCAGTTCTATATACTTCTGTGTTTACTGTGATGGAGGAAATTGCCACACAGATCCTCTTCTCTCTTTGTTCTTTTCTTGGTTTCTTTTTGCTCTGCTGTGTGTGTTGTGCTGGGACCAGTCCTGACATTTGGACAGGGCCAACAAATTTATATATTACTTCCCACTACAAAAAAATCCCAAAGCAATTTACAAGCAGAGTAAAAATGCAATAATAAAAAAAATGTGTAAGCATGTTAAAAACATCATAAAATCTTCATCAGCGTGTTGAAAGCTACTTAAGCATGTTAAATGTTACACTTATTTCAACTTGCATTAAAATGCCTAAGTGTTTGTTAAAGAGATTTCTCATCCCATAAACATTTTGTGCAGGACAGAAGACCTTTCTGTGAAGCTGCAATAAGCAAGCAGTTGCTTGGGGCTGTAGAATCAAGAGGAGCGAGGCAGAGGAGAGAGAGAGAGAGAGAGAGAGAGAGAGAGAGAGAGAGAGAGAGAGAGAGAGTGTTTAAATCTTACAAATGAGCTCCTGAAAAAGTGGGGGCAGTCATGTAGACTTTTTCTGAAATGTGATCAAGTGAGGATTGCGTGAGGCCGGTGCCGCTAGTAGTACACATGGTAGCAAGGAAATATTGTTTCTTGTTGCCCTAGAGATCTGGTCTTTAGAGAATACTTGTCAACTCCCAGTAGACGATGAACTGCAAGTGTTTTTTATGGCCAGCTTTTGAGTGATTCATATTGCTGTAATAATATCTCAAATATTAATGGGTTTACTTCCTATCATTCTGCAGAGGGAGATGCTGTATTGTCCTGCTGGAAGGAAAAGTAAGAAATAACTATATAGATACACACACACACACACACACACACACACAGAGAGAGAGAGAGAGAGAGAGAGAGAGAGAGAGAGAGAGAGAGAAGGGGCTGCTGCCCCTGCCTGCTCTGCTCATGAACCACGCTTACCCGTCAATCCCTTGCCAACCCTCTTTCACCACACCTGCCTAATCCCTCATCCCTTTACACCTGACCAAATCCCCTGCCTTTATACCACACCCATTTCCTTGCCTATTCCCCCACAGCTTGCCCCAACCCCTTTTAAAGGAGGGTGGGAGGCACGTCAGAAACTGCTTTCTGAAGCACCTCTCCCCTTCTGAGAAAACTCACTCCAGCAGCCAGTGGTGTAGCGTGGGGGGTGCAGGGGGGCCGGCCGCACCGGGCGCAACATCTGGGGGGGGCGCTCGCACTCGCAGCTCTCTGCCCCTACCTGGCTCACTCTCTCTCTCTCACTGCAGTGCTGGCTGTGCGAATCCGATCCGAGCTGCCGGGTCGCCGCCCACTGTGGAAGGGGGGGTGCCAGGTGTGCGGTGCGATGCGGAGAGAGAGCGAGGGACTATCTAGGGGAGGGACAGGTTAGGGGGCGCAAATTACTTGCCTTGCCCCGGGTGCTGACAACCCACGCTACGCCACTGCCAGCAGCATTTAATAGTGAGGGGCTGCCATTTCAGAGTGACTTGGCAAAGTGCTTCCTTTTCCACCCCCTGTTAAACAGCTTACCTGGGCTGCCTGTCACCTGCATTGCTTGCTGGCTTTTCTGCCCACATGTCATTTTGTTGTGACACTGGAGTTGGTGTGGCCACCTGCTGGTGACCACCTGAACTACAACATGACTGCAGCCTTACATTTTTCTGTCTATAGGAAAAAGTGTGTGCATGTATTATGGTGTGCATGTATGTACATGTCTGTCTGTCTGTCTGTCTATCTAGCTATCTAGCTATTTAGCTATACATGGACAGATACATGTCTACACATCTCAGAAAGATTTCCCATTGAATTCCTTAGGGCTTACTCCCAGGTAAGTGGGTATATATATTTGCAGCCTTACATTGCAATCCAAACTTAGTAGATCCCAGATTGACTAAGTCTCTCCCTGCCCCAGAATTCTTGGCATGTGGAATGGGGAGCTCTGCACAGGTGAGTGATGTTGAAGCCTATCAGGGCTGGGCCAGGGGCAGTGCATCCCATTTCACTGCCTGAGGAGAACTGGGAAGGTATTACACCCCTGTCCCCAAAGCCTGAAACCTCCCTTTCCTGGATTGTGTGGCAGCACCCCTGAAGATGCTGCTGCTTTGGGTTCTGCTGCCTGAGGCAGCTGCTTCAGCCTGTCTCATGGGTGGGCCAGATGTAGCCAGCTAAGGCTTCAACAAGCCTTTTTTCAGGCCACAGCTACAGTTCAGGTTTACTCATGTCTGTTTTGCAAATGTATGTTTTGCCTGCTCCTTCTAGTGCTGTTGTATTTGGTCTTTGTTTAGGGTCTTCAGTCAGTGAGATCGTTGTCCGATCACCTTAAGTCTTCCGTCAGGATGCATTGCAGGGGGTCAGACCCTTGGGTCTCTTTCAACTCTACAATTCTTATTATTCTATGTTTCACTTCCTTTATTGCAATCTTTCCAGATCTTCAGTTCACCCATTGGTTTTCTAGATCACGACAAAAAACTAAGTAGTTGCATCTCCTGGGTAAGCTATATAGCTGCCATCTTGTCGACTGGGACAAATCTGTGGAGTTCTTTGGGGTGGTGACAATAGTGGGGGAATCAGCAAACTTTCTCGAAACAGAAGGAGCCCAAAATTCCCAAATGTTGGATTGGCAGGAGTTCTGCCCATGTACCTTTTCGTGACATTGCAAAAAAGTTTTCTGTATTCAATTTCCAGTGCAGTAATAACGTGCCTGTGCTCTGCTTTTACATGTTATCAAAGCGCTCCAGACACACTAGGAAGGATACAGGTGCTGCAGACGGACAGTGTGATGTAGTGGTTAAAGGGCTGGACTAGATCTGGGGAGACCCTGGTTCAAGCCAGCATGAATCTCATCTTCTGCCAGTTGTTGTCCCTCAAAGCACAAGCCATTTTGCAAGGTTGTTGAAAGGGTAAAAGTGGTGGTGAAAAACTATGAGTTCTGTGGTGGAATGCAGGGATATGGATGTAAATAAATAAATAGATGCATGCATGGAGGTGACTTGGCTTGCCTTGGATCACAAAAAGTGTATTATTGGAAAACTTCCTTCTTTGCTGTTTTCATTATGAACAGTTACTATAGGGGCTCTCCAAGGAACATGCTGTTGGTTTCCTTTACATCTGGGACATCTGGACATAGTAAATCAACACATGCAATCTGTGTGGCTCCTTTTCCTGAAGGATCTTTTAGTTAGAGACAGCTGTAGGTTCCTTCTGTCCTGAGTTGTGTCATATAACCTTGCTCTGACGGCTTCTCCATTCACTCTCCTGTGCTAATAATTCTGTTGCAGCAAATGGTATAGAAAGCAGTGAAATCTAATGCTGCTCCCAGAAGGATTCACCCGCCCCCTCCCTTTCCTCACACCATCTCTTGGAATGCTGCTCTCAGGATGATCTAGGAGAAGATGGATAGACCCATGTGTTTCTGTCAGGTGCCTCCTGCCAGACAGCTAATCACACAGATGGAAACTTCAGATTTCTCTGACCTGTGAGGACTGACCTGCAGCACAGAGTGGGAAGAAGAAGGCTTGAGAAGAGACCTCTCACCTTCCATTCTATCTGGCAGACCCCACCCTTTCACCATTGTCAGTTTCTTAATAACGTAATTGATCAATGGTCACGGGAC